CCCCAAAACCCCAAAACCCCAAAACCCCAAAACCCCAAATCTCTCTCAACAGTATAAAATCTTTTAATAAAATATGAGCGTGGAGCATAGCCAGACCATGCAGTGCTTTAACTATACTAGGAAAGAAAGCAGGAAAAGAATGAAGTAGTAAGGAATAGGGGTTAAGATGGAGAGAATGGGGATTGAAGGAGAATGTGGGAGTAGGTTAAGGGATTTTAGAAGTGAATGAGGGGCTGAAGGGAATTAGGTGGTTCTGAGGGGACGGTGGTGATGTGGGGGGTGGGAATTGGAGAGTTGGAAGAGGTGGGTTTTTGAGTGGTTGGAGTGGATTTTTGGACTTTTGGTAACATGTCTAACCCAAATAGCTACAAATAAGATGAAGCACACTAGCTCAGTAAGTTTCAGCTCCACTGCAAGCTCGTTCAACCCGAGGTATTCCAAGCTAACCGTTTGTATCAGTACGACCAAAGTAAGTACTGGGGGCCCGCAGAGGGATTTTGGGGATTTTTATAATAGAGTTTATGCCAATTAGTTACTTTGGGTGGTTAAGGGTGGCAGAGGGGAATTTTAGGCATGAAATGAATGTTTAGGGCGTATTTGATGAAGTTTTGGGAGTAATTGGGGATGGTGGTTTGGAGATGATGTTTGTAGAGGAAAGTTGGGAGGCAAGGGAGGAGAAGGCAACAGTGCTCGACCAGTTTTACGACCAAAGGGGTTTGTGTAAGACGTTTCATTTTGTATTGTATATTTTTAATTTTTTGCATCAAAGAAAAATGTTTTATTTTTGAAGAAAACCTAACTTAAAAGAGGAAATTTCTCAAAAGCTTCCTCATAATTAGCCTCTAATCTTGCATATAGAATGAGGAAAATGAGAGTCAGAGGGTAACTATCAGAAGGCTAAGATCTCGTAAAACTCCGTTAAGTCTGACTCAGATTAAATTTGATTTTGATAAAAGTCCTTCAGTCAACAGATCTCTGCATGGATCATTCACAAATAAAGAAGATACAGCTTTCTGAGTCCGCCCATTGACTCAGTCTTTCTCCACCCTCAAAAGTAAATATCTTAATTATAATTGCAGCCGGGCGGTTTTTCATGGTTTATTTTTTCGAAATAAATCATTCCTTGTTTAAGCTTTTGGTGTAGGACGAAAAGTAGGAGGCCTCTTCAGGAATACTCTTATCATGCGAGAAATGAACACTAAAAGTCCTATACGGAAAAGCTCCAGCAAGCGGTAAGACTTCTGAAGGGTGACACGTTTAGACGACCAATTCGTGTCAGAAAAAAGTCGAAGTGAGTATTCATGATATCTTGTTTATTTCTGGCTGATGTCAAGCTAGAATGATTTATTTGGATAATACTCATATTTTTAGGATTACTAGCCAGTCATTGCTTCAAATAAGTGGTAAAAAGTTAGAATTAACTCGAAAAATTCCGAGATATCCTACTAAGGACTAGATGAAATATTCAAATATTATTAAAGACTGAGGGGTTTTGGGGTTTTGGGGTTTTGGGGTTTTGGGGTTTTGGGG